ATTTAAGGCAATTACCATCCATCAAGAAACCTCGACCCTTTTTACAAAAACAACCTTATTTAAACGATGACTTGAATTTAAATTTTAATTCTATTTTAATGATAGTTTGTTGGACAAATCTTGCTTTATGATTTTCTTTTGTCGTGACAAATACAAGTTTATGGAGGTGTTAAAGATGGGATGAAAAAGTATCCCCGATAAGCATCCAGTAAGATTACCGCCACAATTATATGTAAGACAGGACCCCTAATTTTCTCTTTTTTACAATTCATAAATAATCATTTCTGTCAAACATTTAACAAAATGGGTAATGTGAACAAATACGAATCATTTTCTCAATTAAATTGAAAACCTTTCAACATCTTTATGTCTTATCATTTGTATACACTATAAAGACGTTAGGACACAACAGCAAACCCCGCAACAACCCTTTTTACCCAAAAATTTGAGATAAACGTTAATCAAGCACAGCACTGTTTCTGAAGTTTGTGATTTGCCACAAATAATGTGTTTTGGCCAATGAAGTCTATAAATGCAAAACAATACATAATTCTTAATCATCAACCAAAATCAATTGCGAACGTTACTGGCAAAGATTGGAGAACAGACAAAAAGTTAACAGTCAAGTGAGTCAACGGACATATCAAAATTTTTCTAAACTAGGAAATATTCATAGTTACATAAACTTGTACCCCAGGCGATGACATGCTTCATGCTTATAATTATAGATCGAGACATGTAAGCATATTTCTGATGTAAGAGGCCTTATATTATCACTTAAACCACGAACTCGACATAAGGACTATCATTTACCCAGTTTCATAAAATTGGACCCCAAACTGTGCTTTTTTGATGGCTTTAGTCGGATTAAGATGAATTGATGAAATTTAATGCCTGGATATAATTCTTCCCCACTTCACCTAATTTTTACCAAGTGTTTTATAAAAGGGCAATATAATTCGGTACAGGACAACTTAGAACCAACACTCACATAAACGCAGTGGTAGAGCAAACATCAGGAAAAAACCTCGTGGAAAAACTTTGCCTTTACTGCCACCATTTGTTCATTGAAATAAGATTTTGATCAACCGTAATGTTAATTCTAGTCTATATTCACGGGGTTTTATATAATCTCTAGATATTAACCCCCACATATTTCAATCTCGAGTACCCAATATTAACCCCACACGATGAAGTTTTTAACCCAATAGAGGTATCAAACTTGTAATCTGACTCTAGCGACAAATTAAAAGAACACAAAACACCTACGTTAATTAGCGACCATTTTGTTTGTGAAAGAAATGAGCCGGCTCACACAAAAATAAAATATTTGAAAACTTTCTTTAAGTTACCATGTATCTCACCTAATTGACAAAAACTGAACTGAAACACAGTCTGTTCAATTCAGATCAGGTTTTGTTCCGTTCGCTACCAATGAACTCTATCGCGAATCCCGAACTTTTATAAACTTTTCAGATTGAAAATGTTTTCAAATGATAAAGTTTGAAATATCTTGGATTGCCCAGTTTTGGAATTTGCATCGACAAATCTTGTGCAGGCATGTCATACAGTCTCAAAGCATTCCCAAATTAAACAAATCACTACATCATGGTCATTGAGGCTTTAATTGTTACTAGTACAATGTATATTACGATGGGATAAGGCAAACTTAAACCTATGGTCGAAACCCCGTGAAATAAGTTAGATATTTTGTGAGACGGGTAATGTGAGAAACCTAATTTTATTAAAATAACAACAAGAAGGAGACATGACACACATGAACACAAACAAAATATTTTGTCAGGGCTTAGAGACTGTCTGAATGACGATAGAATTGTATCTAGTTAGCATTCTATTAACACTTTCAATGTTTTGTGATATCATTAAAGTGATGTGTTGCACCATCATGTTAAATTACAAACATAACCACAATTTCTTAAGAACAAAATAAAAGTATATGTTATGTTCATAATCCCAACGACATCCATGTCTGCTGGAGAGGCCAAACTTTATCCCATAAAACCAGTAGCCTTTCAAAACCAATCTGCATTGATACCTTCTATCTAATTAAAACCGCTGTAAATATTTACAGAGTAGACAGAACATGGGAATAATAACAATGGGTGTATTTCTCAGATATACATAAAAGGGTACGGAATATAAAACTGATATTGCTCTATAAAGAGATCCTGTAGAAACAGGAGCAAACCTTGAAAATAAAAATATGCACAATTTGTAAGCAATGAAACACTTGTAATTTTATCTTAATTGAGTTCTTTTTATATAAATACCTTCAAAAACATATACCGTTGACAAACAGCGATAAATTAGAAATTATACCCGTATTGTGGTCGATTTCTACATTTTATTATGAACCGCTCAGAAATACGATATTCAAGCCTGTGAAAAGACAAATTAAGTTTTTTTGATAAAGATGTTACCTTAGTTTCGCTACACTAAATATTATAAATTAGATGACGGTTCTTGGGTCTAGGTGGGTTTATTGAGTGTAGTCAGGTCGATCACTGAGGGAGAAACACAAGCTAGATATACATAGCAATTCGCCAACATATATCGCTTTCGAAACAACGTCCCTTGGTTCTAAAGAGGCCCATTGCTGGACATTAACAAAAATTGAAAACCCGTAGGATTAAAATTTCGCCTGATTTGAAAACATTGATCCCGAGTCTGAAGATAAAATTTATGTGCGAACATTATATGATATTTAATTTGATTTAGAGCGCGTATCCAACAGAGAATAGTAACAATATTTCACGCTGTAAAACGTCTAAATGTGTTCAAAAACTAATTGACGTCAAAGACTTCTGCTTGGTTAGAAATTTATTTTCGTATTTAACAAAGGCCTTACAAAGGGTACTATTCGGGCTTTTGATAATTTGTAACACGACTTTTCAAAGGTTGCTATTGTATTAAAAGATTTGTCCCCATTTCGAAATCTCTGAATAATTCCAATTCGTGATTTTATGAATTCCAGGTTGGGACGAATGGTCAGACTGGAGTTCCTGTACCAAATCATGCGATTCGGGTCATCAGGTCAGACGAAGAACGTGCATTCGAGACATTGACCTAGATTGTATTGGTAAAGCTGTAGAGTCACGTGAATGCAACAGTTATAGATGTGAAGGTGAGTGTTGTATTTAAAATGTACATTTCCTTGACATAGATGAATAAAAGAAAAATGCATTATCTCCAGAATTACTGCTTTTGTGGGTTAGATCTGGTTTATTTTATTTATCAAGTTAACTATTTCTTTTGCAGGTCAAAAAGATATCCTCACAAACATTGGAATTCCAAAACAACCGATAGGTGTCACTAAGAGTGTCCAACGACCATCTGCTTACGTCATCTCATCTCGTGCTAAATTATTCTTACCGGTCGCTACTTTATATGATATAACATTACCACGTGACTTCGCCATCTTGGTGACGTTGAAACTGAACTATGGATTCAATGGCTATCTTCTGTCTATAAGCGACATTCAGGGACGTCAGAGAGTTGGTCTGTATTTTGGAAATGGAGTAATTCGTCTGGACTATTTAGATGACAATTATTTTGGTGTTACTATGCCAACATTTAATGTCAATGTAACTGATGGAGAATGGCACCAACTTGCTATTAGTCTATCCGGAAATGACGTAAAGCTTTATAAAGATTGTGATGATGTCATGATTGATAAATTAGAGAGGAGTAGTTTATCAAGTTTTGGCAGCAATTTGATGTTGTCGCTGGGTCCATATTTTCCAAGATATGGGAATCCGTTTGAGGTTAGTAGGCCCACAGTTCTCATTATTCTCGTAATATTTACTGTTATGCTGCTACTATGACGTCCAAGACATACAATTCTTATTCACATATAAATATAGCTTAGTGTTATTTATCAATATAAATGTTATTTATAATAAGCCAGTCTATGATTTATCTTTCAGGGGGAGTTAGAACAATTGGTATTGAGTGAGAGGCCGGAAGTGGCAAAGATGCAATGTTACCAACAGTCAGGGCATAGGGTGTGTTTTTTTTTTCTCTGTTTCAATTGTAAAGACGTCAAACGAGATTTATTTTATCCCATTTGGTTTTATAGAGCCTACGTCATATCCCGTGTTCTGTTTCTATATTTTATGATGTGAATTTCTTTTCCAGGTTGAACCAATCGGAGATGAAGGTTCTAATAGAAATACTGTCTCCGTGACAACCATAACATCAACGCTCCCAACAACAACCAGAGGTGAGTTGTTTGATTTAAGTTTTGCTTTCTTAACACCAAGAATAAGAAAGATGTGAATTGTGTATTCATATTTCATATTCAAATTTGAATTTCAGCCTTCGTTTCTGATTGGTCAGCCTGGTCCAGCTGCAGTGCCACCTGTGGTAAAGGGAGACAAATGAGGACAATGTATTGTAGTAATAATCTACTAAGCTGGGAGAGTTGTCGTACCTACCATGTGACCCCAGTCCAGTCTCGCCTGTGTTACCTCCAACACTGTAAAGGTGCTAGAATGACCTATGAACTCTGACCTCTGGTTGTAGCAGGTAGACTTAATAAACCTGCTGCTTACAATACAGTAGTCGCGAACAACTAGTAGCTTAATGCTTTTAATGTGTATATTGTCTCTGCTTTTTAATGCCAATGGGTTAGGGTCTCTATTTTTCTGCCGATGGAATGCTCTGTTCTATAAAGTATTACCTCGTCTGATTGTATAGTTCTATCCATTAACAGCTTTATGCTTATGTATTTACTGAATGTTCCCTTTTCCTTTATAAACTTCTTCATCTGTGTATATTATATAATTTGTTATGTTTAAATGAATTGTTGTTATATATCACGTAAATGGGTTTATGATCAAGAACTTATCATCTAAAAAAAACTCTTAATTTAAAAAATTTTAAACTTTAAAACTTGTGTTTTAGATTTTATAGTATATTTTCTTCCAACCTAATCATTCTTTAAATGACATAGATATAAATTCTTTATTTTAGAACCATGTCCTACTCCATGTTTGAATTCTGGAGTTTGTGAAAGTAACGGTAGATGTCGCTGTATTCTCGGTTATAAAGGCGACCATTGTCAACATGGTAAGTCAGTCTAAATAATTTGTTTTTTTGATTATAAACCTGGCATTATCTATTGTAAACTTTCATCAATGATATATTCTTAATATTTAAAGATTAATTAAATTCTTTTTGATCTTTCAGCCATCTGTCACCTAGGTTGTCAAAATGGTGGTTCCTGTATTACACCAAATAAATGCGCCTGTTCAGACGGATATACCGGAAATACATGTGGAACTCGTAAGTATTGTAACTTTCATAGTCCATACAAAGACAGAAAATTGTGATATCACGCAGAATTGATCCAACAGTAGTTTCCGATTGTTTTAATGATTATGAATAAAGCAGCTGAAAAATAAATTATATTGCTATTAGAAAATATCGAATGTTATCAGATTAACTTGTATTTCTAGCTATTTGTAAAGAAGGTTGTAAGAATGGTGGACGCTGTGTTTCACCAGGAAAATGTGAATGTCCTGTTGGTTTCTCGGGCCCTGATTGTAAACGTGAGTAGTCTCCCTTTATATTCAAATATTCGAATAATCAAAGTTGTATGCTTTCTTTGTGCTGTTAAATCTATGCTTTGTCTTTAGTCATACTCAGGCTGTATTGATATTGTTGGTTTGACAGTTCAAAATCTCAAATTCAGAATCATACATTGCGGCTGTTGGCGAGATTATCTATAAAAATTACATGTATATGGTGCTGCTTTGCCCATTCTTCACCACTTCATTTCATTTTCAAATCTGATATTTCAGCTTACTGTGCCCAGACGTGTCATAACGGCGGGGAATGTGTTAGAACTAATGTCTGTAAATGTCCAAAAGGCTACACAGGAGCGGATTGCTCACAACGTAAGTATCAAGTCTTTAATCAGAGATAAGGGGAGATAACTCAATACTTGATAATCTAAGCAAGCTGCATTCGATTATCGTGGCCCACAACGTAATGGTAATTTAAATTAGAAAACTACAGATATTCATTATGTTATAAGTATGCATTTATTGTACAATATTGTCCTTTATTTACAGCCGTCTGCTCCCTGGGATGTTTCAATGGCGGGAAATGCGTAGCACCTGAGAAGTGTTCCTGTCCGAGAGGTTATAGAGGTCAATATTGCCATAAAGGTATGTTCAATTAGCATTGATCTACCTGATAACACATGAAAATAGTGTAACAATGCATTTTCAATACACAACGTTTCAACAATTTACATTACCCTTAAAACCTATCTAAAATCTATAATTTACTAAAATCGTTGGCTAATAATATCGATATAATTATTGTTTTTAAATAATATGAACTGAACTTCTTTTCAGCTAAATGTCGATCAAAATGCCTGAACAAAGGGAAATGTGTTTCACCCAATACTTGTTTATGTAGAAAAGGTTATTCTGGTCCAAGATGTGAACATTGTAAGTATCTGTCTCACTCAATTAGTTTTCAGCTTTTACATAATCCGTAGAGCAATCTAGGTGGATTCATAATACATAGTTGAAAAAGACACTCTTAAAGTTTGGTCGTCGTTTCATAGTGAATTATTGGTCTCATTTGCCTCCATTGCGTCCTGGCCTTTCTTCCAGAGAGTATTTTGAAGATTCTTTTAACTGAATGATACAATGATTGCAACACCACTTAAGTCAAAGCGACAAGAACACAGGGCATGCAACATTGGATTGGTTTGCCATTGCAATATTCATTTTTTTGGGTCAAATATTAGAATATAATCGATCTGTTTTTTTTTGTAGTTGTTTGTACCAAGAAATGCAAAAACGGCGGAAATTGTGTTGGACCTAATCGATGCTCTTGTACTGGCTTATTTTATGGTCGAAGATGTCACAAAGGTTAGTTCTGTTTTTAAAACGATCTTTTTTCTAATTCATCGATAAAAAGTCTTTCAGTACGTTGCCGATGAATGTATTTCTATTTTGCGAGCTGGTTTACTTAGCTCATACGCCTGGGTTCCAGAATTTTGAACTTTACTGTTAACTTCCATTACCAAACTAGTTTATAGACGGGGATTTTGTATTCAAACGTGTTTCGGTAGCATTTGTATAACCAGTTGTATAATGTTACTATAAAGGGACGTAATTGCTTTATTGGTAGGTGACTACTGCAACCAGACCACTAATAACTAATTTTATATTTGTTTCAGAAAAGTGTGTTATGAAATGTTTGAATGGAGGAAAATGTAGAAGAAAAAATAAATGTAAATGTCCAAAGGGATTTGGTGGTAAAAGATGCGAAAAAAGGTAAGTTAACGACTATAACTTGTTATTTCTATGTACCAATCCACATTAACTATGCTTTACAGTTACAATATATTTTGACGCTTCTTAGTGACTGAAAGTGATTTTTCCTGAATATCCGAAGAAAACGTTGTGTCAGTTTTGTTTCGTCTGTTAAGGTCGAGTTTGCAATCCTCATGCCTCATTTACTCTCCGTAATATAACATTTTCGAATTGATCTTTTTTGTATTTTATAATTTTATTATATCTTTTCTATAGAAATTGTAAATATGAGCAGTATATGGTACCACATAAAAAGAGTTACAGACGTGTTATTAAAGAAGAATTCGTTACAAGATGTGGTCCCTGGAAATGGAAGCGATGTGTACAAACTAGGTATATACTTTACTTCAGCTATCATATATTCTAGTCATAACGTATATTATATCATAGCACTCCATAGAATAGTTAATGATAGTCAAGTAGAAAACATAGCGATTCTTTACAGTAGATTCAACACCTGCTACATTCTGCCCTCTGGCATTCTGGTATAAAAAGTAATGCAAAACTAGTGGTTTCGGCCATTACGCTATCAAAATATCAAAAGTACATTCGGTTGGGACTTGTTAGTACTTGGTTTATTTATTGAACTTCTGTCATTACATCCAACTTACCACAATCTTCAATTCAATAGCTCATGCCCCTCCAATAAACCAATGCTTTTTCTAAACATTGTTCTATTTCTAATTGCAGATTGAAGTATGTAACAGTTGCTAAAGAAACATTTCGAACGGCGTATAGATGCGTTTGAAAACAATCTGTTTTGGAACATTCGTGTTTAATTAAGTTTGATAGCTTGGTGTACAGGCCAGTCTTCAGCAGATTCGATTCGATTACACTGATTCGTCCTGGAACATTATTGTTTGAATTACGGTTGACAGGACGAAGTGCAAGAACTAGGTGATAATCATTTATGTATTGTGTATGAAAACGTTGATGTTTTGTCGTTTTGTTAAGATTTTTTAAGGCAATTAGTAGAAGATCACAGCTATAGATGTTAAGAACACCATCTTCTCTTGAACATCGGTTTCGAAATCAACACTTATAAGGTTGTGTTTGTCAAAATTAAGTGAAGTATACCAGAAATACAATATTGCCAAAAATATGGTTGAATATACAGGAGTATCTTTTCTGGGGTATCTTTTCTGTAAGGCGGAGAAGTTTATATGGGCTTTAAACTAAGTTACTGTAAATTCTAATACCTAGTTTCAGACTGTTTACATCCTAAAAGTTCGTTTATTGAAATGAGAATCTATAATGTCATGAGACGTTGACATTTCTTGTATCTTAATCACCACAAATTGTCTTGAAGCAGACTTTCTTCATAGTTTATTTTCTAAAAGTCATACTAATGAGTTAGAAAAAACCTAATTTACGCTACACTTGTCAATTTGAAGATATCGAGAATGAAGCTTAATACAGTTTTTATGCTTAACCTTTAGACCTGAGACATGTTTATCAGATGTAAATGCCGGAAATTACTGGGAATAAAAATAATGGATTCTGTGGAAATTTCTGCAGGTTTTTGTCTCCAATTTAATAGACAAGAAGCAATGTAGATTAGTTCTACAATTCAAGTTGTTTAAGGAGGTCAACAATATTGTTAAAAACTTCCTTATCCATGAAAGGGTTTCTGTGCGGCTAAATAGAAAACCCATAAAAGAGTCATTGTAAATCCGGACGTATCATAATGATTTGAAGAAGCTTGTAGTCAACCCGGGTTTTCAATTACTGGTGTAGATCTTGTAAGACATTCTCTCAAGAAAGTAAATTCAATTTGAAGTCGATAGTTATATGTACATTTAAAGATAAGACATTGTTTAGATATATAAACAGTTTTTAGTATTATAAACATAATAAGTTAACTTTGTAAGAATTTACAAGCGGATTAGATTACCAATGTTGCGCATATTCCATCAACTAGACTTGATCGGCCTAATAGCGCTTCTTTACCATTTTAGTTCATTTTGTTGTTTGTAAATGTATAAAAAGAAACATTCATGATATAATATTCCAAGAGCATTTGAATATACTTTGTACAAGTTCTTTTAATATTCCGTCCATCATAATGGACACATTCTTAGTGCAATTTTTTGTTATTTTACTTTTGTTGATTTTCTTTTATATTTTTGTTATATTTTGCCTTTGATAATAAAATCTGAAATTCAAATAATTGATTTAATTCTGGTTATCATGAATACCCATGTGGTTTTGTCATATAAAAATGTATAGATGCATTTTAGCACTGAAGTTCCACACGGTAAGTAGGACTTTTTCGTAGTCATCACCAACAGTTTCTGTCTCATTCCAATAGTATATGTTGCTTGCCTCCTTAACCCATCGCTAACCTGAAGGTCCAAGGTTCAATCCCAGCATAGGTCGAGATAATACCTTCGGATTTTTCAACCCGGTTTCCCCCTGTCAGTGATGCAGGTAAGAGGGGCTGACATAGAAAAAGCGTCTAGTCGTTCGGATGGGACAATAAACCGAGGCCCCGTGTGCTACAGGCTGTCCACGTTAAAGATCCCTCGACAGTTGCAAATCGAAAAAGAGCAGGCTAATGCCACTGTCCTGGCAGAATTTCCCTCATCGCACCCTGCATGCGTTTCCTGTCTTCATTAGCCCACATGGTGCAGAAAAGTTTCATTTCATTTCCTTTCATTTTTAACCCATCGCTATGAATTGTGTACCCGCTGTATCTTTTTCACCTTTCCTTAAAATAGAAATGATGGTGTCTTTCTTCTTCGATTAACATTCAAAACAAAGTTGTTACCGCCATAAACCCAGTTAATCTGATCAGAGAAACCTGCCATTGTCACAAGAACAGTTCTCTGTAGCTATGTGCTTCATTGAAACTCCATGTGAGTTTTCACATTTTATTGTATTTAGTTCAAAACAAACCTAAAGTCAGCTTAACATTCCTGCACTCCGAGATCAATAATTGCTCACTACCACTGAGGTTTTTTAAGCATTGGTAATTACAATTGGAATCATGTATCAACAAAGGAGATGAAATTGTGAATAAACCATTTATTTCACTTTCTAATTTGATCATGTAAAATACTAATAATAGCTAGAATTTCATATACATGATTGAAGGGAATGGTATAATTCATATCACTAGAAGTCAGATTTGGATTGGCGCTGAAAGAAAAATGAATGATATAATCAATGATGAATATAGCTAGACCGTAATAATATTTTGAGTAGATGATAATATTTTATTCAAATATAAAGGCCAATAGCCGATTCTACGACATAGACATGTAATTATACACAAACAATAAACTAGATGATTATGTTATCAACGACTTATCATTCTTATTTTTCTCAACAATAGAAATGTATACTTAGCAAAATCTATTATGATTGCAGCATTTGTTGTCTACATTAATATATCTTCAATGGAATTTGAAATGGATTTTTGACTATATTTGCATACAGATGGAAATTCGCTATAAATATAACCAAAGCTAAATATTTTACACAACATTAGAGAGCCACAGAAACAAATCCCGAATACCGCGACCCAATTTGTCAAATTTGGTTCAATCAGACATTAACGTAAGGTATTGCACCTCTTAAGCAGCTTGGAGAAGAAAGCTTTAACAAGTTGGTGCTCACAACGAGGTCCGCGCTATATTTTCTTCTACTCAAATTGTTATAATATTTTAACTACGTTTCGAAATGATTCCATGTGTGAATATACTCTACATGAAAGAAAAAAGGATTAAAGATATAATGTCTATGTACAGAAAAGAAAACACACTATTTACACCGTCAACCTTTCTTTTTGTCCACGTTATAAGCCTAACCAATATTTGTTGCAAAACAATGTATGTCCGCCCCAATTTTCACTAGTATATAACACGTATAGTATGATTAATATGATTCAAATGCGGTTCAATTTATAAAATGATTGAAATAATTTTAACCTAGCCCATCAGATATCTTAAACAAAATCTGACGTAAACTATTGATGCAGACGCGTAACGAACTAACGATCTCAGCTCTAAACCGTATTAATAAAACTTCAATAAAAGATTAACATCAAATCGCGTCGCATATAACTCTCCGACTGTCAAGTCCATCAAAATTATCACTAAGAGCAAAAGATCTGAAACGTTACGCGCCTGCATCGTTAGTTCATTCACGTGCTTTCATCTTCAATAATTTCTAAAATTAATTGTTCATCCAGACTCGTTCATACTGCAGTAACTTCCTCTCTATCAGTGTGGGGCTTGGTAACCACGACTATATCCTTCTGACCCAATACTTTCACGTGAAACATACCGCCTTTTTGTTTTGAATTCTCCGCTTTGGCGATTTTAGCAATCTGACAACTGACTACCGACGAGAATAAGCAGATGAGGCATTCGAGTCCAGCAGATCCAAGAGCGATATAAATCAACACGTCTTTGTTCTCCTTCTGGAAGGTATGTCCATCTGTAGTGTGGTTCACCAGACCTAAACGAAGCAGTTGGATACTGACGACAGCTGTTACCAGAGACACCACGGAAAACGCAGTGAAACACATAATCTGAAGTAAAACACAAAATAGTTCAAAAAATATATAAAATAAATGGATTTATAAGCATAAAAATGTGTATTCAGTTAAAGGGATCAGTTTTTTGGACCAAACAGCAACGTTTTTTTTAGCTTTGCCAATCAGTAAAAGTGTTCACAGCACAGCATCGAAATTTGAGCTTTTAAATCCACGTGAGTCCAGAATTATCCGCGTTTGAATGTTTAAATGACTACTCGTCATTCTAAGATACTCTGTGACATAAAGAAAAGACATATATAGAAATAGTGAGTAAAATTCTTAGAAGTATATTTATAGGAATTATGGGACTTTCGTACATTTCTAGTACTTCTGAAGACTATTAACATATATTCAAGGCTAAAATCAACC